TTTTCGCGTGTTTTGTATAGTTTTGAAAAGAACAGATTTAACTAGATGTGTTCGTGTTTTATAATTTTGCCAACACGAGGACATCAACACTATCTACTTCCCATCTGATTAAAATAGTATTATATTGGAGCATTTGAAATCTCAATATATTATTTTTTTCATTATTTATTTTTACTTTTATAGATAATTTATTTGTTGGAAGTTTTAGTTTATCGCGAAGGTCCACGATAATACGATATTTGTGCTAATAAAAAATAATTACACATATAGAAAAAATATAAAAAAAAGTCTCAAACAAAACAAAATAAATAAAAAAGTAAAAAACCATAGGACTGACTACTCCCTTAACATGAATTGTGATTGCGCTTTATTCTAAGTGGTATTGACAAAACGGCAATCGCGAAAAGACAATTAGCGTGTTTCCGTAATGTAGCGGTTATCACGTTCGCCTAACACGCGAAAGGTTCCCGGTTCGAGCCCGGGCGGAAATGATATTTTATTTTTTGTTATTCTTTTTTGGTAAAAGATCGAATTTTGTATACTAGTATTCAATTTAGTCGTTGGTATATGCCATCCACCAAACCCCCGACGACCTTGTACTATCTTTGTCCTGAACAATTAGGGTTCAGGTTGTGTGTTATCATCATTAATAGGACAGAGATCCAGGAACCCCGTTAAGGTTATCAATTTGCGCCTGTCCAACAGGGTTGTAAATTACTGTCAAATATTTTATTTTCGCTTGTCATTCATTTTCGATTAATTAATTATTTATTAAATAAATACCATCCATACAAAACAGCCAAAAGGATTTTCAGCTAAAAATAATTCCACATAAAATTAAATTTTTTGTACTGTATTATGAACAGAGTCGGGTTAATTCAGTTTTTCAGTCGGGGTTCCGAGTCAGCCTGTTTTCTACTGGTGGTTGATATAGTCCTTACCGTTCGAAGGGGTTGGTATTTTACATTTTAGAAGAATTTGGCTCAGTGTACACATTAACAGAAACTAATTTAGCTGAAGTGCTAAAATAAACTTTATTTTAAATTAGCTACAACTTGAATTAGCGAAATTACAGAGTTAAACTAGCTAAATGACACGTTTTACATTATTGTTTCAGTTACAAAAATTTTACTTAACAAGCAAAACATTATCTTTCATGAAACCAACGCGGTTTGCAGTATTATTTGATGTGAGAACACGGTTCATTTACTCAGTAACTGCGCAGTAAATTGTGCAATTGGTAAACAGAGATTTAAAAGATTGTCAAGATATTTGAAGATGGCGCTTTCCCTTTAACAAAGAGCAATGTACAAATCATTTTCATTCACAGTTAATAATTTACATAAGTTGAGAATGAAATAAACAAAGTAGCACCCGATGCCTTCACTGGAAATACTATTCCTTAAATGTTGACTTTAAATTACACGATTTCGCGATCACAGGACTTTCGCATTCACCCCTCGTTTTACGCAATTTATATTTATTTTTCGAGAATTTATCATCGGAATCGCAACATACTGCAAGCAAGTCTAAGTGACACAGTCAGTGTATTGCATCCTATTCGGGTGCGTGAATCATTTATTGTGAAACATACAACATGTGTTTGTCCATACGAATTTCAAATTCAACTTTGTGAATTGTATTGATAATGTGATGAAATAGGTTTTGAATTACTGCTGATATGGCACCTTCTATATTTGTTGTTGTTGCACAGTTGTGTTATTTTTGCTATAAACACATTATGCATGCAGTTGAAACAAAATGATTAGCTAGATACGTAGATGACATTTGAGACTAACCTTGTCTTATTTGAATCTTTCATTTGTACTGATGATATAAATATATATTTATTTTCGTTGTGTCAATTATTTATTTTATTTTTACAGTGGACGCCATTCATCATTCCCAGACAAATTATGCAATCCTATTCGCTGTGAATAACATTGAAGATGAGATTGTTGTAATATAACAAGAAATCGTAGCAAAGTACCGTTTTTATCACAGCGATATGACAATCTTAGGCTGCACCATGACAATAGAAAGACTGGTGTGAAGTTGATGTGAACCGCGCCAACATTTTATTTTGAGTTTACTGAACCCTTCAGTCGAGTTTTGCCCCTGCGGGGTGGGGGGAACTCACATTGAAGAGCTATATGTACTAGTATATGTGTCGCCGGGGTTCCAAACTCATCACTTCTGTCTGAAAAGGGGTACGAGTGTGTTTATTTTACTTATGAAGCTGATTTTTTCTTTCTGTAACTTTATTTCGATCGTCAAAGTCCAACCCCGGGAGTCCACGTGCTTTCCCCTTGGTACCATTTATGCTTACTGTCTGGAAAGGGGTGTCAAATATCCACAGTTTGTCTGAAAAAGGGATAGGCAATTTGAATTTATTTCTGTCTGATAAGGGGTAGGGGTTTCAAACAACCAGCTACACACCCCTGTCAGTATTTTTTGCAAGAACCCCCCCCCCCCCTGGTTGAAATTGTTGTGATATAACAAAAGAAATCGTACCAAAGTGCCGTTTTTATCACACCGATATGACAATCTCAGGCTGGATAACAAGAATTACTCACATGATACAATGACCATTACTCAAAATATTGGTGACTGAAAGTGTATTTTGCAAAAAAAAAAAATACCACAAAAAATGTGTAGCATCGAAAAAACTATAACTATAAATTTGGTGCCGTCTGTTGCCGCTCATGAAGTGTATTTGTGACTGTCTTAACGCAACACTTGCCGTGAGTTTAAAGTGATATCAACAGTTATCTATCGGAAGGACTAATTGTATATAGATGGAGTGTTACCTCAATGCCAGTATAGTAGTAGTGATATCTAAACTCGTGTACACACACGGTATTATGGTTCATCTTTGTGCATTTAGCATCGATTTATGTGCAACTGCACTGAGCATAACGATTGATTCTGCACCATGACAATAGAAAGACTCATTCGGAATTACGAAAATGATTTCATTAAGGTGTTGAACTTTCGAGTGTCGCATTTCAAGCAGCACATGTACATGCGATGTAGGCCATTCTCACCAAACAGTGCCCACAGACTTGGGTATTTAAATTAATGGACACACCAATGCTATGTCCGTGTTGATGTGAACCGCGCCAACATTTATTTTGAGTATACTAAATCCTTCTGTCGAGTTTTTCCACCCTATAAATAACTTCTTGTTTAGTTGCTCTAGCTATCACTGGTCGTGTCACTACAAACTGAGACGTTGCTAAGCTTTAACTAGGTAATTTCTTTTGTGATTGGAAGGTATTGAAGGAGTCACTGGCGGTAATTAGTGCACGTTGCGCCCAGGTCAAAACTCGTGATCCTGATTCGAATTAGAAGAGTGCATTGGATTGTACAGAAATCATTGTTTATCAACACAAATGTTGCACACGCGCGGCGCGACAACCACCACACTTAAGTGATTTCCCCAACTGCTCTCAAATGACTGAAACATTCTAGATATGGATCTAACTGAATTCCCGATCATACGATTATGTCAAATCTAACCATGACTGTATTTTGGACTATAATACTACTATGAGGTTGTGTGACACTAAACAAATGTCTAGACAAGTTCTATAAAAGTTAACTCTTCAATTGCATAATTCTAAAATGACAACTCACTTTCAAAAATGTATGTTAATTTCATTCACATAAAGGATGTTAGTGTAATATAATATATATTACCTATTTTATACACACTCGAGATATGGATGTATTCTCCTTACAAAATATTTCGCCATGATTAGTTTCCATGTAATACATCTGACTACATGAACGATACATTCGCTGATATTGGTTCGACCACTACAAATATATGTTAAATATAGAAGTCGTTAAAACACATGAAAATTCTAGCAAAGTGATAATGTCATCTTCATCGTAGAAAAGTTACGTTCTTAACAAAGAAGGCTGAATCTTTATTCAATCTCCACGTATTTGTAGCAACTATCATGTGGCATAGTAATATATAAAACGGGAAAACAATTGTGGTATTTGACGTGATATTTGTACTACAAAAAAATAATCACACATAAATAAAAAATAAAAAAAAGTCTGAAAACAAAATAAAACAAAAAAGCCGTAGGAATTATGATTCTACGTGTATTAAAACGCGCCAATCTTAAAAGTGCGCATGCGGTTTCCGTAGTGTAGCGGTTATCACGTTCGCCTAACACGCGAAAGGTCCCCGGTTCGAGCCCGGGCGGAAACAATATTTTATTTTTTGTTATTCTTTTTTGGTAAAAGATCGAATTTTGTATATTCAATTTAGTCGTTGGTATATGCCATCCGCAAACCCCCGGCGACCTTGTACTATTTTTGTCCTGAACAATTGGGGTTCAGGTTGTGTGTTCATCATTAATAGATCCAGGAACCCCGTTAAGGTTACCAATTTGCCCCAAAATGTCCAACATGGTTGCAAATTACTATTAAATATTTTATTTTCGCTTGTCATTTATTTTCGATTATTCTATTTATTTAAGGGGCGATTCAGTGAAAATAAAAGCCAGCAAATATAACTTTTTGCGTGATATTCAACTCATCAAAAATCAGTAAAAATAAACTCCACACAAAACACCCTAAAGCATTTTCAGCAAAAAATAATTCCACCTAAAATTAAAGTAGTTTACAGTATTATGATTGTGAACAGAGTCGGGTTGATTCAGTTTTCAGCCGGGGTTCCGAGTCAGTTTGTTTTCTACTGATGGTTGATATAATCCTCAACGTTCGAAGGGGTTGATATTTTACAGCCATTTTATTGAATTTGGCTCAATGTACACATTAACAGAAACTTAATTTAGCTGAAGTGCTAACATATAAAATCCTTTATTTTAAATTAGCTACAACTTGAATTAGCGAAATTACAGATTAGCTAAACTAGCTAAAATGACTCTTTTTAAATTATTGTTTCAGTTCGGAAGTGCGCCCTCCTCGGTGACACTGGTAACTATTTGACTATTTGAAAAAGATCAGCTGTAAAAACAATGGTTGTCGAAATCGAGAAGTTTTTTGGATGTTACCTGTTATACTGTACGAATCCAAAGTATAAAGGCCGCACGTATATTGGTTATACCGTGGACCCTAGGAGGAGGATTACACAACACAATAAAGGCAGCAAGTTTGGGGGAGCGTGTAGAACCAGCGGAAAGGGACCATGGTGGGTACATAATTAAACTCAAAGTAGACAGTAACTGAAGTAACCTTCCCATGAAAGGCAGTTTCCAGCCACATTTACACGTGTTGCATGAAGTAGACATGTTCCGAAATGAACAATACTGTCAGCTGATTCCGAGTAATGACCTCACTTGGTTTCATCACGGTTACGAGTAACTGTGGTTCCATTGATTCTGTCGGTGGCCGGTCGATTCGTTCCTAGCCCCGTGTACATGTCTGTTGTTCCGCCCTACGTAGGTGTCCGACCGACGAACTCGGCCAGCGGTAATACTCGGCCACCCCGACGGCCACCCATCGTGTATACGACAGCACCCGAAGACTTAATCGTTTATTGTATCACACTTCACAACAATACGTTAATCTGTCAATTGTCAAATCAAGTTATTCGTATTTCAGGATTATAGCGTAATTAATTAATTAATCAGCAACTTAGTCATGTGCCAAAAAAAGGAAATTCAGGAAACGTATAAATTGTTTAAAATGGAATGCGAATTTGAAGGGAAATTCAGGATTTCAATTTGAGAAGAATGGTAACTACAGTAAGTTTCGACTTAGTGACCATAATTTGGAAATATAATTAGGCAGGAGAAAACAACAAACAACAGATTGTGTAAAAAACACAGGTACTGTAGAAGATGAAGAACATTTCTTCTTTGACTGTTGCTTCTTCACTCAAGAAAGAAATATCCTTTTAAAAGATTGTAAATTAAAAATGTGTAATACAGATAACTTAAATTTAATATTCATTTGCATATTAAATAGTAGCACTGCACTTGCAAAATACTCAAAAAAAAACAACAATTTATAAAACCTAATTGTAAATCTATATTTTATATATATCCCTTAGTTTGTAATTTTGAAACTTCTTTTTTTTTGATCTGTATTCTTATCATACAGCACCCACCCATGGTGCAGTTGTGTAATCAATTTATTTTTATTGTAGTGTCATTAATTAATATTCTAAAAAATCATGGTAAAAGTTGTTTATTTCCAAATATCGAGAAACACAGTAAATATTGTTGTAAGCTCACATGTTGCGCTTTCCGATTGAATTTTATATGCTTGATTGTCTTGTTACCAATACCGGTATATATTAAAGATGTCACCCAGCACAAATTCGCAAGGCTAACCAAAAGCAATGGGACAAAAGTGTATTGGGATAAATGTGAATTGTGATGAATCAATTTGTGAGATGAATTGACTGTGAATCGATTCTGCCACTGCAGTTAATTAATACTATGCATTCATGAGCAATTTTTTTGTCTGCACTAAGGGGTGTCACAGTTACATTAGAAAAAGCTTAAGTGGCTCGAGGGGGGTGTTACCAACCAGAAAAAAATGTTAGGGGGCGTCGCCCCTCCAAAATCAAGCTGAAACCCTTTGTGTTAGAAAAATTTGCCCCTCAAAATGCAGGGAATAGTGTTTCAGAGGGTCTAGATTTCAAAATTGTTAAGGGGGAGCATGTCCCCGCCCACTAGAAAGGTGAGGTTGGTGAGCAGATCTCATCCCCCCCCCCCATGCAAAATCTAATTTAAAATAATAAATTAAAATTTCCAGCAATCTGAATAATTGTATCAAGTGAATATATATCATAACTGAATAGTATTATGGCCAGTTTACAAATTAAAAAAAAATGGAATAATATTTGTTTACTACTGTTCTTTAAAACTAATTCTAATATTATAAACATTGTGTTTTAACCACTAGGGAGATGGTTTTAATCATTCATGGTTTTCCTAATAACATATCAGCACTGCGGGTAAGTAACGATCTCTGTACTATATATATTACCCAAAATGCATCATCCCAATGATATATGTGCTTTCTGAGGTCTCTGAGACCTCTACAATAATCTCCTAGTTACTGTGGCCATTTTATTTTATTAGCCATGCAAATGTATTAAAGTAGGTCAAATCTGAACAATGAAAAGTAAAATACTTTCTGATTGTTAGTCGGTTTGAATTTAGCAGAATTCCAGATGACTTGAGTCAATGGAAGTTCTTATAAGATTCTACCTGATTGGCTACCCAACCCTGACACCTGACAACAGTCGAACCAATCAGAAAGCAGCTTGTTTGTAACTTAGATCAAAACTTACATTGTCGGTTCAAAATGAAAGATATCAGGCCCGAATGATTACTAAACAGTAAGAATCTGTGCGAAAAAGAATACTTTTTTTTGAACTACTGTAAAATACTTTATTTTAGTTGGAATTAATTTTCGCTGAAAAGACTTTTTGGGTGTTTTGTATGGAATTTATTTTCACTGATTTTTGGCAATTTGAATGTAAAATATAGGAAAAAAGGTATATTCGCTGGATTTTATTTTCACTGAATCATCCCTTCAGCAAAAATAGTGAAAATATTTCTAAGTGAAAATAAAGTATTTTACAGTAGTGGGTCTTTGAATGTGCAAAGTTGGTGTCCTAGTAAGTTACATGATATGATTACGTTCCCAACTTGATTAGTACATGTGTCATCGTCATACCCTTGCCCAATCAAACATAAATATATATGATATGTCAGGTGCTCTGTTTGCGCGAATGTCATTTGATGAATAGGTTTACCTGAAAATGATTATGCTTGTTTACCAATTGTAGTATGAAGTATTTTTATTAACTCATAACAACCTACTGAAGGAGGTTAAAGGTAATTACAGATAAAAATTAATCAAATTACAATGACTAGTAGTTTAGAAGACAACCAAAAACGGACTAAATTGAAGTTAGTAACAGAAATATATAATAAAATAAAATGAAACACCAACAAAAAACTATAAACTGAATATAAAAACAAAAACCCAATGAACAAATAATAGATATAAAAAAAAGTCAATGACTAAGTAGGTGCTGCTGTCTAATAACAAAGCTGTATTTCAGATATTGTGCCACGGAATGAGACGGAAAAGCAATAAAAAAAAGTTTTTAATTTGTTTTTTTCTTATCAATGACATTTCTGTAGTTTGAATGGGCATGGCAGCATCCGAAAAGATCTAGAAGACTCTGTCATCTAACTGGCAAACAGAAAAAAGAAAATCAGTTCCAGTTCTGTTTTCGAATACTCTCCAATATGTTAAGGGTCGGCCCATGGAACCGCTTGCCTCTCACGATCCGCTGGTTGAAGCAAGATTTCAAAATCGATTTTGAGCCAAGTCTTCTGCCACCTACTCATATGCCGATTGCTTACGGGCCAGTGAAAAGTGTCACCATCAAGAAAAAAGGTGGTAATGTGGAAGTGCAGAATGAAGAAGATGAAATTTTAATCTTATCTCAAGGAAGTGCTAGTAAAAGATGTGATGTCTGTGTTGTTAGATTAAAGGTAAGGTATTGGTGATATAACATTAGGTGTTTTTCCATCATTTTAACATTCAAGTATTTTAGTGTGCGGTATATTTGTACCACAGTCAGCTGGCGTATACATGATAGCAAAATAAATTTGATTAATCTATCGATATTTATTATATGGGGGCAGCCATCTTGAATACGACTTGAAACTAAATAGAGACAAGTTGAGAAACAGGTTTTTCAGATTCTCACAAATTGGGAAAAAAAATGAAATATGAAATATCTTACTGAAATTACGCAATATTGTAAAAAAAAAATAATATTTTATAAACATCAGCTTCATACAGCTACATATAATCTAGATGTTTTTTTATGAACACCTCTTTTATGGGGGGGGGGGGGGATTTCATTTTGACTCAAGATCCCTCCAAAACCAGTCCTGTTAGAGGGCAAACTTACCAGTAGCACTGTTTGATTTCAGGAAGGTGACCCTAGTTTAGAGTGTGTGCATCCCGGCTGTACTCTTATATGTCATACAGTGTGCCTGGCCAAGAAATTTGTTAAACATACAGATTACCTGGTTCCAGTGGAGGGAAAATGTCCCAAATGCAAAAACATGGTGCTGTGGGGAGATTTGATACGGAAAAGCCATGGTTGCTATGGCAGCATAGTGGTAAGTTGAAAATAAGAACTTTGTGGGTGAACAAATTCTATCTTGTGTTTATAAAGAATAAGTCACCATCACTGTCAGGTATACAGCAAAGATTACACAGGTGAGTATATACATATAGAGTTAATTGTGCAATATCGAGTGACGATACATTGAGTGGTGGCATAAATTTGCACCTGTATTTTGGCGTTTCTAGTTAGTAGCAATGTAGGTACATTGTGTGTATATGTAAATTAACTCAATTAACATAATTTAAAAAAAAAAATACACTGATTACATTGTATTGCCTATACAATTATATTTTAAGCATCAATAAAACATGTTCACAAGCGACTCGCTGCAGGCAGCAATTATTACTGTAATTCTGAAAAAATAATTTTCTCATGCATCTTGTGTTAAACCAATGCTTTTCATTATGCTCTATGTGTTTTTTTACAATTTGGTAAATCACATATTTAACCAAACCTTGCATAATTAAAAACTCACCCAATAAGGCAAGTGTAATATAATATGAGGTTATGACGAGGATACCTCGAAGTATGCACAAAGACAGAACAGCAGGAGTATCGACGGACATGCAGCGGAGGTCGTGTACTGTCTGAGTGCATACTTTTCGGATACATCATGGGAATGCCAACATACAAAAAGTTTAAAACAGATTGAGCGAACTTCTTTGTATGGGGTACAGTCAAACTCTGGGGGCTGCCATGTATTGTTAGAGGACGCTTACATGAGTAATCGTTCCATATTTGGAATTTGTATTTCCTAATATGGTAGGATGAAAATACCCAGTGCAGTACCGTAACCTATGGCATTACTGTGACAGATGTATAATAGTAAGTGTTATGCTTATTTGCTTTTATTTATATTGATTTTTAGAGCGATTCACAAGATGATGGAGATGGTGACTGGGCAGAGCTGAATGTTTGATAGTTGCTTCCACTCCAGAATATCGACAAATGATTGACATTCTTCATGGAGCGTTGAAGTGAAGCTTCAAATTTAAGTGACTGTGATGGATAATCTTGGATATGCTAATAAACTGAAAGCAACGATTATTTAAAGAAACAATACCACGTGCATTATCATCTGTTTTGTTGTGTGTGCACAAAATAGCTGTACTATCAGGACTAGATGGTGTCAACATTTCAAGATGGACAGTCAGTTTGATGTTACTATGGAAGTAAATAACGACTCAGCCTACTTCAAGAGTTGTGTATTCATTTATTTTTGATGATGTATACTTATCAGACTGCAGACTAGCACTCGTCAATAGTACTCTTGCGATGTGGTCACGTATCTTGCTTCATATAGACTAATCATGACTGTTTTTCTGGCGAATTGTATTTTTTAAGTGCATTTTAAATGGGATTGTCCCACCTGCATGTGACAGCGTTGAATAGCGAGTCCATGTACCTCACATCACAAAAAGGCTGCAGGTTTGGGCTAATCAGCTGACTGAGGCCCACCACCCTTAGTATTCCCACATCGTGAAATGTGTGATATTAGGTTGGATAGGGATGCTCAGAACAGTCCCCAGTGGACAATAAAGAACTGTAAGCAATGGTACAGTGTTTTGTGTGCTCGCCTCATATCAGCGAGGTTGTGGGTTTGATTCTCAGAGATAACTGTTCATTCAGCAGTATAAATCCGGGTACAATTTGTCCTACCTTCCAAACATGTGGTATTAATAGGTTGGGAAGACTGTTTTGCACATACACTTGCAACTAGCACCGAAAAAACCTCCAAAAAAACAGATTTCTGCATTTACTGCCTTCACTTGAAATAGATGAGGATTTGAGATCTGTAGATCTGTAAACTTTTCCTTCTGATCTTTGTACATGTACATAGATTATTTACGTTATAATATTATCAATGAATTTTGAAAATTACAGACAGTGCACCACCTTATACTATTATTAGACTCTGACTAAACGATAAATACAAATAAGTCATGGCACCAAATGTTAGCCATGTGAATGCATTCAGTGTTATAATGAAATCAACCCAGAAATGCGTGTAGTTTTTCAAGCCCCAAAAAGTTACCACCCAGTCAAATTGGGTCAAAATAAAATGTTATCGCATTTTTTAGTTATGTACAAACTTAACAAATTAAAATTGTAATTTGAAATCATTCATAATTGGGACTGTCATATGAAATATTTTATGGTTTGAATTTGCAAAAATTGATGAAAATAACATAAATTTAGTGGTTTTTAGTATTTTTCTGTTAATTTCCGCTTCCCATTTGTTACTGTTCAACCATTTCCTGCATATACAAACCATCAAATATTTCATATAATAGTCCCAAGATCTCATTGAAGCTCAAGAAATGTATCAATGCACATCTGAGAATAGTTGTTTATATTAATAAAAGATGTATTGGAAACTGGTTGTGATACAGGCTTGGAGTGAGACTAAACTCTATCAGGATCATTCACAAAATTCTAAAAACACACATCCTGTCCTTTTGTGCTTAGCACATGATAGGGAAAAAATACAAGTTACAAAACTAGTACATGTCAAATTTGTGTCAATCCAGACAAGACAAAATTATGGCTATAGAAACATCGTCCAATAAATGGTCCAATAAGCACTTATTCTACCACTACTACAATTTGATACCATTTGTTACAAGTTGAACAATATTTCTTGCAACTTGTTCCATTCGCTTAGTGCTGCCTGACTGAAGGGGTAACAAAAGTCGAAACATTGAGACAGCGTTTTACAATGCCTCTTTAAAAAATCATGTACCTGGAAATTCACTGTCAGACTTGAACTTCACAGACTTTGTGCCCTTTGAAAAATATTGATTTCCCCCCCAATACTATTCCTATACGCTAAAGGCAAATTTTGTCTTGAAAATAGGTGTTCTCTCAACTTGAAGTTCAAGCCTTGCTGTCATACGTATGCTAATTCTACTGTCCAGTCAGACTCGTACACATACACAAAAATACAACTTTAAGTTGAATTCAGAAATTTATTAAACTTTACAAACTTGTCATTTTAAATACACAAACCAGGTGAGAAGCTCAAAAGGACGTTTTTTTTTAATGCAAGCTAAGATATCTTGTAGGGGGAAATGAAAATTATACAATGATAGTTGACTGAAATGAACACAAAACAATACAGCAATATTCATCTTGGGTGTTTGGAGATTTCACCATTTAGTCAGCTACTGGAAATCTTTGCACATTGCTGATGATGTTTCTTGTTTTATCTTTTACGATATGTTGATCCATTTCTTTCCATCAATGTACTGTGAAGATACCCTCTATTAAAGTTCTTAACAATGGTCCAATCACTGGCACACAAACAGATTTACAGGAAATGCAGCTTATTCGTCGTCATCACCTCCACCATTGTCATTTTTTTCAAAATCATCTTTTATGTCCTTCCAAAGTTTCTGTAACAGAATGAACACGTATAATACATAAACTAAAAATTAAAGAAAGCTAAAAAAACTTCAGTGTGCTGAGGGTAATATAGATCTGTGCATTGTCTATGGCATATATGCAACAAGTGTCATTGAAAAGCATAGATTAGGTTTTGATATATAAAATAACTAATAATTATGCAAATTAATGTTAACAAATTTAAACCAAAGAACTAATCGCGTCTGTGCATTGTTCCTGAGCATCTGTACACCAAGTTTCATTGAAATTTCTTAAGTAGTTCTTGAGAAAATGGTGAAACAGGCCTACATACATACACACTAACTGCAAAGATCAGTTAGGATGCATTAGATTTGTGCAACTGTACTGAATGATTACAGTCATTGGTCATAATTTACAGGGACATATGCAAAACATATTCCAATGGTAGATGAATCCAATCAGCCAATCTATAAGCCAGTGTGCTCATTTACATCATTTGAAATGTTCCAATAAATAATGTATTCCATCTACACAATAGAAACTTCTAGTTTCAGTTAGAATAATGAAATCAATAAATATTTGTAAAATGAAGGGAATGGATTAACATTTGTTGTGTCGATAGCATATGTACTAACCAAGTAATTATCGAACGTTGGACCACAGGGACTGTGATTGGACTTTTAAAATCGTGTTAAAAACGAATCATTATTAAGTTGCAAGTTTAGAATTCATATTTTACAACAAAACATTAAACAATTAGCCCCTTTCGTCTCTGTATTAATCTACTTGATTTATTGGACATCGAAGTTATGATTGTGAATGCAGGGGGGACGGTCGATTCGTCCCAAATCACATTCGTCCCAAGTCGATTCGTCCCACAGGTCGATTCGTCTCAAGTCGATTCGTCCCACAAGTTGATTCGTCCCAAAGTCGATTCGTCCC